AGGGAAACATTGGTATCTAGGGGGATGGAGGTTGAACGAACATTGTGGAATCAGAATCAAAAATCAAAAATAGTGACCCCACATACCAGCCTAGTACAAATACTATTTACAGAGACAAGACTCTGTAAAGCTGAGCTAACAACTCTGGAAGATGGCACTCAGAGACATTATTACTTTGAGCTATATGCAAACAAAGCATGCCGACATACTTTTAATAACAATACAGTACAACTAGCGGAGGTTAAGCAGTTATAATGTTTTACATATTCACCATATTATTAAGCATGTTGAATGCTCAGATTTGCATCATAGCATGAAACACAAGTTGAACTGAGGCCTATTTATCACTTTTCTGTTTGACCCAGTTTGCACCAAGTGGTTCCATTCTGTTCAGATTGGTATGGTACGCATGTATTGGCGCTTTCAAAGTCAAAAGTTGGTAAATGGTACCAACATAATTTATCAGTAGCGTCCAACATTTTTGCTTCCTTTATGTTGGGGGGTCAAGTGTACCAATCCAACCCTAAACGGTAGAGCTAGACACACTGCAGTCTGTTGATTGGTCGGAATAATCGTCACCTCCCGTGGGACAGTAAAAGAGATAACTCACATGTTCAAAACATCCTGTAGGTTTCAAATTAATTATTTTAAGGCAGTCAGCACAAACACTACCCCATGGATGACCTCGGAGGTGAAGGCCTCTGCTGGACGTCCTCCATCATTGCCCTTTGTTTAGTGTGTTGTGCTCTTGCTTCTTCTTCATTGATCTTATTGGTGGGCTACACTGCACCACAACACTATCGCTATATCACTCTGCTTTCCAAGTAAGGGTTTGGTGGAAACATAAGCAAGATCGTGGTTAACTGTACCAAACTGTACCAGACTGTGAAAGGGGAGGCTTTATTTGGTTATAAACAAGAACAATATAAATATGGGCCTGTTGACGGAGCCTGCTTTCAGTGAAATTTACTCCAAGAGGAACATACATTTCTATCTTAACATCCTGTGATCAAACAGGAAACGGTTTTAGACTGAATGAAGTCCGACACAAGAGCCTTTTTGTGTTTGAGCTCCTCTCTGACAGTCCACCCTCCTCCATCATGTAGCTGGCAGTACCTCGTCTGCTTTTCATTTAGTCCCCTATACCCCCTCCGTCCCAAAACCACTAATGTCTGTGTGTCTTTTATTCTGCCTTTTTTCACTCTCTGTCCCTCTGTTTTAGGTTTTGTTTACCCTTATACGTTTCTGTGAATCTGTGTGTTTGCATGTGCGTGCGTGTGTGTGAAGCTCAGTCTGGCGCCACCATCTCATCAGCATTCATGGATACTATGCAATCACATTCAATTTTGTGCACCAGCACACACACACACACACACACACACACACACACACACACACACAAACACACACACACACACACACACACACACACACACACACACACACACACACACACACACACACACACACACACACACACACACACACACACACTTACACACAAATAACGGAAACTTGCAGAGTAATTCCTGTGGTTTCAATCTTCTCTAAAATCACATCTTCAGATATGATTTTCTTCCACCAACAATCAGTTGGTTCTGAATACAGTTTTCCAGTTTCAAATTTCCAGTTTCAAACCGAATGTTCCAAAGTATTCATGACCCGACAGGCAGAAAGTAAAACAGCATCACTAGGGCCTCAGCACTCCAAACTCATGTTCACTTTGATATCTTTTTGTTCATGATTGGTTTGAAACTAGCCAGTAAAAGAGAGACTTCTAAAGTGTAGCACAGCCAGAGCATAGAGGACAATCCAAAAAAACATCATGAAATCAAATGAACTGAGGAATACAAAAGGCCTCCTAAAAGTTCAAATGCAGGATTTATTTATTTATTCACTGCCTGCAATTTAGTGTCAGTTTCACCTTTTGTCTTATTTTTTTTCATACCTTCTTCCTCTTTTATCCCACTGTCAACTCTTTTTTTTAGCAATTAGCTCCTGTTCAGGTAACTTTCATTTATTTCACCAGTGCTGCTGTGAGGAGTCATGAAGGGGTGAGAATCTGTTTATTGGTCAACAACCAAAAAAAAAAGAAGTTTTTTAAATTTCACACCCGTGATTCCATATTGTACACCTTAACACCTTGACTGAGCAACCTACATCAGTCTGCTGCCATAAAGGCTGCTGCTGCTGCTGAACCAGTTGCTGATGCTAAAATTCATGTCCATCTTAATGCTTGCTAGGAAGTTTGCTGCTGACGCTAAAATTAACCTCGTCCACAGCTGGCTCCCATTAGCCCTGCAACGAGAGCCTGTACTTTTACTCTTTCTCTCTCCCTCTTTCAAAACGTCTTTCTCTCTCTCTCTCTCTCTTCGTCATACACACACAAAGACACACACTTAAACGCACACTCATTATATTCAGCTGCCAAGTTTAACATGGCTGTACTACCCTTTTGGTTTGGCACCGTCATGTGTTTGGAGATGAAGGAGGCGGGAGA